ATTCAAAAGAGGACAAACAGGAAGTGGAAATAGATGCTGCTGAGATGGTTATATTTAAGAGACTAGTCATGAAATTGACTAAGCATTTGAGACGATTGTATGTGAAGGCATAGGTTAATGGTATACCTGTGGCAAAAGTACTCATTAATAACGGAGCAGCTATAAACACTATCACATCCAGAATGATGAAAAAGTTTGCAAAGACAGAAAGTGACATGATTCCAACAGAAGTCATCCTCACAAGTTTCAATGGAGGAGAAACTTCGACTAAAGGAGTTATGCCACTGGACATAACTGTAGGGACAACCACTAGGATCTCGCTAGCTCCATCCCCTTGAGCGGGATTTGTGTCCACTTAAGCTAAAAGAACATGTGACAAGGTAAAATGCCTGCTGCCTAGCTTTCAATTCGGCTCTCCAACTTTTATCCCTCTCTCCCAACCTGCCAACCATCATACATAAAACTCGTAAGTTTGAAGAATTTCGACAAGCACGATCCCCCCCCCTACCCTCCCCATGTGACCTATGATTTATTATGCGCGGACGGCTGACCCCTCTATGTGAGAGGGGTGTAAACTATACTTGTAGCATCTCCCAATTGATTATTAGAGATTTTTTCCTCATCTTAAAAGTTACAATTCATAAGCACTCTTGTTTGTTTGACAACATTTTTTTTTGCCCTTTTGTGATTTTTCAGTATTTTAGTGGAAGAATACATAAGTTAGGCCTTAACTATATTACAATTCAATTTGAAGAGAAAATGTTTAAAAGTTTAAAACCCATATGATAAATAATATATATTATATCTAATAAATATTCATCATAATAACTCAGGGTTTAAAGAGGGGGGACTAAAAATCAGTGAAGAAAAGAGTAAGAGAGAAGAGAGAGGAAAATTGGGGTGGATGGAGAATTTTATAGAATCATTATTAATATTAAAATATAGAATTATGAACTGAATTTTGGATAACCAAATTTTAATCCTATTTTTTGAATTGTACTCTTTAGAAACATGTGGCTGTGTAATTTCCAATTAAGGCCTCGTTTGCCCCTCATTATTTGAGATTATAATTTTTAGAATAGTGTTTTTTTTTTTTTTGGAGAACATGTAATTAAAAAAGAAGAAATTATTTTTGATTTACATGTAATATTATTTTATTGAAAAATGTGTGATTGATAAGAAAAGAGAAAAAATTAATTATAATTTTAATGGGCGGCAAACGGGGCTAAAATGAAGTAACTTAATTTCCCAAATGGAGCTCTCCAAAGTCAATACTTTTTATTTCGTTAATAATATAAGTCGCCGTTAGTGGTTTTGATTTTGGAAAGGGATAATAAAAAGAAATTTTATTTTCATAGATATGATTTAAATATTAGTATTGCACATTTCTTTAATTTTTCATCTAAAATGAATAAAAAAATAGTCTGATTCCTTCATCCATGCGCAAATCTCTCTAAAAATCAAAAAATTTGTAAAAGTCATTCACATTTTTTGTGTGTGATCAAGTAAAAGGTAACATTAATAGTATAATTAAAGCAACATGGTCGTATAATTATAGATCTAAAAATACATGCTTTCCCTAACTAAACACTATTATTTTTCCAAATTGCAATTATACACAAGCTTATTTCTCATGAATAAAATTCCAAGCGATTTTTTTTTTTTTTTTCACATTCTAAGTAAGAAAATACTGAGCTCCGGCCCTCCCTTGCCGTCCGGGTTCAACATGTAGAAAGCTTCCGAGTCACGGTTCCCCACAACTCGCTCAAATCTAGCTCTCATGTACAGCAACTCACCTTCAGATGCACCACTCTTCCGGCCGTCATCCACCACCGGAATCACTCCAGCACCGACGGAGACTGTCTGGACGGTGCTCAACACGTGCCAGTCGGAATCTGTGCATGCGCGTGAAAAAGCGTAGCCGCATGTCCTACCATTACAGTACATAGTCCACATTGGCTCATTGAACAGCCTCACCGGTGGCCGACCGCCTCGAGACGGCGGCTGGCCTTTCTCGCACTCCAGGGCAATCCTTACTAGCCCAGAAGACATCTCTTTCACCAGGGTTGATGTAGAAACTGCAAGTTCAACGAGAAAAACTGGTTCCGATCTCGGGTCATCTTGAACGGAAAAGGTGACATGACCTCTCCGGTGCCCAAATAGAGTTCCGGTGACTTTCCGGCCAAGCGAAGGTGTTATCGAGAATTGGGTTGGAATATTAAGCCATCTGCAAGTGGGGAGAATCGTGGGAAATGAAATAATATGAAGGAGTGATCGAAGAAGTCCGGAGAATCCAGTGCGGCCTCTGGGGCAGGCGGCGGTTTGGGGAAATTCTTCAGAGGTTTGGGGATTGAGAGATGAATTTGCAGGGATGATCTTCTTGTTGCTTTTGCAGCTACTGGTCCTAGGAAGAATCTCAACTGCTTTTTCATGTCTCATGATGATCGTCTTACACTGAATATAGACGAAAAACAATAGAATTTGTTGATCAAGGTGTAGGTATGTGTGAAATTGTTCTATGATTGATGCCTGTTTGCGTGAGAGAGAGAGAGATTCTTGGAATTAATATGATCAAGGGAAGATGCTGGTTTCAACACATAATGAAAGAATTGTTCATTGGTTTATTTGTGTGTGTGTGTGTGTGAGAGAGAGAGAGAGAGAGAGAGTGAGTGAGTGAACAGAGGCCGACAAGGTGATGATAATGTTGGGCGGGTGACCGATATAAAGGGAAACTATGGAGGTTTATGGTATCATTTCGATACGGATTATTCCCCGGGGAAAGTATCACAGGTTTCCTACATGGTGTTGCTGTGGCAGCATTTTGTTCACCTGTTTTTTCTTTTTTATTCCCATTTTTCAATGATATTTTGTCATGTGTTAGCTTGAAATAATTCTGTGAAAAAAATCTGTAGGTGTAGTTTGATTCTTTCGTTAGCTATGCCATATTAGGAGATGCTACGTGTAGACAATGATGTACACACGGCTTTACACCCTCCTCACATGAAGGGGGGCCCACACACAATAAAATATTCGTGGACCCCCTCTCACATGGAGGGGGAGTGTAAAGCCGTGTGTACACCACGAGGTGTACACATAGCATCTTTCGCCATATATAGCCACGGTTTACTTTGACAAAAAATTAAATAAAGTGACATAGACAATAATTAATCTTAACTACATATATAATTTCATTTGGTTTCATTAAAAATCTAAATTGAAATCAACAATTAATTTTAACAACATAATTTATGAGTTTCACAATATTTTAACTACACATTCCATCAACCTTAATAATAATAATAATAATAATAATAATAATAATAATAATAATAAATTGTTTTAAATTGTATGTTTATTAATAAATGACAATTATACACCGCAGTCCTAATTTTTATTACCATTGTATCCCTAATTATTCTCTATAAATATGAAATTTTGATTCTCAATATAATACACACAAATTTATTGACTTATTTTGTTTGTTCACTCTTTCTCTCTAATTTATAACACGTTATCAGTAAAAAAGTTTAATTCTTCAAATTCTAGTTAAGGTAATAATATTTTTTATAAGGATAATTATCATCACATGTTCCCAAATTAATTTAGTAACATGTGAATATAATTACATTATATAATCAGCCAATCAATCATGCTATAATGCCAGAATCATTGACACAACGGTTGATGACGCTCTATCATTGGACTGTTTAAAACACAGTCATCTTTTCCATCAAATTTTTTTTCGCCACATAGGATTCTATCGACCCTTATGTCATAATTCATCTCGCAAAGTGGTTTAATCCTTAGCCAATTCATATGGTAATCATCATTCTGTTAAAATAAATTTTGCACTCATAATGGTCATTCATACAAATATTAAGCCCTTCTTTAATCTTCATTATTATAAAAATATATTTTTCTCTTTTTTATTTTTAATCACACATTTTTCAATAAAATAATATTACACGAAAAATCAAAAAAATTCCTTATTCATTAACCACACATTTTCCATCAAAATACTATTTCAAAATATATTTTCATCAAAAAAAAAAAACTTAAACAGGCTCTAAATATTTTTATAAATGTATATTGATTTACATGCATGATGACCATAATGATTCTTCACACAAATTTCACGTGTACCGAGTTGTGATTTTTCTTTTTTCCACTGCCGTAATCAATATTCCCTTTTTTTATGCTTTGTCCGGTTTATTATATGTGTAAAGATTACATTTAATTATTAATGAAATAAAATTAATTCACGAGTTCGTTATCTTTTAAATGTTGATAAAAGATTTAGCCAATTATATTAACTTCTATATATGAAGATTTTTCTTTTCCTAATGCATGTTTGATAATTAATTTTTATATCACATATGTTTGTATGGTAATTAATATTTTTAACCTAATTAAATATTTTTAAATGTTACTTTATAAACTTTAAATTGATAATACATCATGTTGTTCCTCTTGAAATAACACAATATTATAATTAATATTTTAGAAGAATATTATTTGCTCCTGGAGAGCATGAATTATAATTTTTAATATTCCAAAAGAATATCGACATATTACTCTTAAAAAAAATAGTAAAATATAACATGCTCTCGAAGTAGTACATTATAATTTTTATTAATATTCTAGTTAGATTTTACTTGCTTTCGAAAAGATAATAATATAAATTCTAACATAAATTATGTTTTTACTTTTGAAGAAAAAATCCTTGCATAATTTATTACTCGAAACAACAATATGTTATTATTTCTGAGGAGCTCATTATTATTGTTATTCTGGAAAGAAATGCGGCATTTAAATATTCTCGATAAATATTACAGAATTGTTTGAATCAATTAATACAAATCAATATTCTTCAAGAATATTGTGTTGCTACGAAACAAGCAAAATTTTATATATAATATTAATATTTTTTAAGAATATTATGTGATTGTTTTTTAAGAGTCACAATTTAAGCGTTTCAATGTAAATATTTTATTGATACTGAGAATTGCAATTTTAGTTAAAGCAAAGTTTATTTTTATCCATATTTCTGAATAATATTATTTTTAGACTCCAGAAAAGTCAATAGTGTATGATATGAAGTGATAAACTTACTATTAGTAATAATTTGTTCTCCACTAAATAAAAAGAAAACCTACGAAGTTTTTAATAGTGTTTTTTAATTGATACACTATAATAAACTCTAGTGACTATTTTGATAAGTATTGTATTGAAATATAAGTTTAATAACTCTAATATTTTAATTTTTGGCATGTTCAGTTAGACCTTCATTGAATAAATAATGATACGAAATTAAAAATTCAAATCGACATTTAATGAAGAACCAAAAGATTCTTCAATCCAAAGAATTCATATATGATATTTGTTCTCTCTATTATTGTTCATTAAACATCACTAGCTAAATAGGGACTAAATTTCATATATTTCTAAAATTTAATTGGATCAATAATGATGGTATGGTGTTCGCAACTTGAAGTTTGCGAAATTGCTGCTCAAAAGTTAAATTTTGAGCATAATTTTTAAATTATACAATCNTATATACAGAAATGATCTAATGAGCACCGGTGCTCATCTTATCCTAAACACCAATGAGTTGGCACATTAATTCATTGGTGGATTGGAACTCACAAAATCTTTATCCACCAATGAATTAATGTGCCAACTCATCGGTGCTTAGGATAAGATGAGCACCGGTGCTCATTAGATCATTTCTGTATATATATATATATATAATTGCACTGAGATAAAAAGTAAAGAATGTTGAGAATAAATACGTAATTTGAACTCCCATCCTAAACGTGTGATATTTTATAAAATAATTTGTTGATTGACAATTTTATTAGACAATTTTCAACATTGGGGAGGGGGGGGGGGGAGGGGGGAATGAAAAAAACTGAAAATAATGTACAAATACATCATTATATAAATCATCGTAAAAGACAATTTGAGCTAGAAATTCGAAGGATAATTCATTTAAATACATTTATTAACCAAAGATATCAATAATATCTCACACACCAGTTTTAAATGCTCAAATTCAAATTAATGTCTTAGAGAACAATTAATTATATTTGATAAATTTATGACGCGTGTGAAACGTGATAATATTCGATTCTGATACGAAAATCTCCAATCGAAAAGGAAGCAATTAGCAAAATAATGATTGCATAGTGGTCGCATTAAGGAGGCATATACTCTTGATAGTTTTTAAACATAGCAAGATATAAAACCCAAAAGAGAATATTCATGTACCGATATGTTGAAAATTAAAATATCTCAATAAATTATATCATTATGGAAAAGAAAAAAGTGTCGATAACATTTTTGTATGTGATATACTTCATCATATAGCGATGAATAGAAATAATGCGTTGAAATATATCGATCGAAATAATGATTTACCAAAATGGATGCAGATCTAACAAATTGAATTTACTAGAAAAAAATAATATTTTTGGATCTAAAGTCCGAACACCAAAAGATGTATACTTATGTGAAATGAAAATATAAAAAATAAAGTCATAATATGTAATATACTACTCTTAGCATAATGAGTTTTGCAAAGATCGTGATGGATGAAATCACGAGTCCATATCATATTATCTTGACAATGCATGAAATTTGAAATACGTTGTGGACAACTCATTTGGTATGACTATTAATGTTATCACTGAATGATTTAATATACTTGAAATATAATTCGGGTGATATATTATCATGAGTGAAAGTAAATACACATTGCACTTTTTTATCTTTTACTGAGATTTTGTCTCATTAAATTTTCTTAGTAAGGCTTTTAATGAAACAATTTTTGTAGCGTACTCAAAAGAATAATGTATTATTTTTTCTTCATTAGATTTTTTCCCACAAGATTTTTCATAATAAGAATTTAACGAGACGTACTTTTTGTGTAATGAATGTCAATAACATATAAGACATTTACTCTCAAAATAATACTCTTATATGTTGATACTCACAAAGAGATCAATAAAAGTTATTTTTTGAATCATCATGTTACTACAGTTATCAAATGTTAAATATTTCGTATGAAGATAGTATTATTTGAAAATTATATAAGACAAGATGAGACATACTTTACCAGAATTTACAATATTGAAGTACAAGATATGGATTGGTTGATACACGAATTTTCATTTATTGAAATTAGGGGGTGCAAATGTACTCTTTTTCTTTCGATCAAGTTTTGTTTCATTGAATTTTCTTGACAAAGTTTTAACGAGGCAGATATTTTGTAATGTGTTAATTAATTTGAAGTGTTGTATATTATATGTTTATTAGTAAATGAAAATTACAATTTATACCCTTTCAACCCTAATTTTTATTACCATTATATCTCTAATTCATGAGTTAATACCCTAAATAGTCACCAAACTTTGCCAAAAGTCCCCAGGAGGTCATCA